AGTAAATTGTTTCCTTGAGAGATTTTGATGAATCGATATTAAAAATATGAATATTATCTCGAAAAGGAGCATTCAAACAACTCGCCATTTGATATAAATATTTTCCAAGAGCTTTTTCTTCTTCCAAACTTAATAGTTCACCCACAGGTAATCTTTTACCTTGAGTTTCATAATTTTGTTGTCGCACAATATGATAAAGTTTTCGTACATCATTAACAAAATCGAGACGAAATTTACCAAGTGAACGCAACATTTCTTTTAATCTGTATATGTATATATGTAGTATTATTTGATTTTTCTTTATAAACTTACGTTTTCTTAGTCGATGCAACGTCAGTTTCATCATCACCTTCTGAAAATGTTTCATTAATTGTTGCTATACCCAAATCACCTTCAGAATCATTAAATGTTTCATCTTGATCATCACTTTTTGATGATTTATATGAACCTTCGGTTAACTTCAAGTATTTATATAATGTATCAGCCAATGGTCCACATCCCTATTGAATTCAATAGTGAAGTTTGTTTTGAATATGTATGACTTACTTTAACAATTACGACTGGAACTAATCTCTTCAAATCAGTGTATATCGACGAAAGTGAATGAGGAGTACCGCCGATGAGAACAGTAATCAGCGGTATTCTTCGTCTTGCTCCACGTGATATTTGCCGAGCGAAATTTGAGGCGAATTCTCCTGTATCTAATGAATCACATGTACCATCATCGAAAAATATGTATTGTGTATGATTTAATTCTAGCTTGTATCGTCCATGACCTCTCTGTATTGTTAACGGTGTGTTATGATTTCTAAGAATAACAATATTAAATTTAAAAAAAATTAGTTCATCAAACCTCTCCTCAAGTTTGTGACAATTATGAATATTGCCCCATTTACCAACAGCAATTGCGCTGAAGTTTATGTGAGAATTATTCATTTGACAGTTGTACAGTACTTCACCAACTAATTCTGAAATACTCTCTTCTTTGTACCCATTTGTAATAATCCATGCATCTAGATAAACGTATTGTTCTATGAATTTATGAGTACCTTTTTTTACTTACCAGATGCAACAGCAGCATCAGAAATACTTTGTAAAAGTTCTTTCTCTATTTTGATATTTGGCGTTGTATCTATATCACCTATCATTCGCATAATAAGACCAGGATTAGCCATATGCCATACACCCAACAATACGAAATAAAGTTGTTCAAGGTCTGTTTCAACATCACATCGTAAATACTGTATTAAAAAGAAGAAGAAGAAAAAAGAACGAAATCATTTTCTTTTATTAGAGAACAATATAACGCACAGGACTAGTTGATTGAGGTAATATTCCATAACAATTAGTAACTTCTTGTTTTGTGTGCATTTTACAATTCCATACTTTATTTGCATGTGGGACGTCACTTTTCGGATGAATATAATTGCAAACGCAACATTCTTTATCTGTTCTAATTTATTGAATAATATTTCATTAATAACATTTTCATATAATTACATGTACTTACTCTTTTGGAATGAATGTTGTACAAGATCGCTTTTGAAATTTCAACCGCTCGATAGCAGCTCTCCAAGGTATTGGCTAATAAGAAATAGAAAATGAGAAAAATAATAAAACTATACAACACATACATTATTCGATATCATATCAGTTTGAATTAATGAATTCATGATTTAATATCAAGTATCAATCTCTTACAATTTTAGAAAAAAAATGGATGCAGATGAAAGTTTGAAATGTAAGAAATGCATGGCGACAATAGCAGAAAGAAAAAAGTTTTTTTCGTTCCTGTTCTTCAACGTCCTTCAAATGACAACACTAACAATAGTAAAAAGTGCGTTTACATTCTGTCTACCATATCTTGTTTATATAAAAGTTAAAAGCAGATTTGAATAAGTAATTTTCTTCGTATGTCTTTTTTTATTAATGGATGTGGTGCGTTTTTTTCTTTTTTTCTTTCTCTTTTCATTAGCATACTTTTATTAAGGCTTCGTTTTATAGACGACAAATCTAGTTTAATAATCGAAATATACTGCGTATTTTACATTTACTATATATTCGAAATTTTGTTTTAAATGGAAGAACTTGATGACACGACATCAGAAACAACAAAACCTAATTATCTCGCTTTACTTCAAGAAATTAATAAACTTTCAAGTTTATCAACTAATTTGAATGGCATGAATATCACTGAAATAGAGACAATCTTCAACAATATGACTGAGAATATCGATCGAATATTGGATCAAATGATTTTTAAAAAAAGTTCAATGTTTCTCATTACAACATTAAACATAATTGTACGCATCTCTACTATCGATGGATCTGATTTATTTATATCACGACAACCTTTTCAGTCAATGTTTGAAAAATTGAATCATTTGATTGAGTGTATTCGTTATGAAAAAGATTATTCTCCAGTGATTGCCACTGATATTTTGGATGCAATGCTTCTGAACCTTGTAAAAGATGATTTTATTGAAATTTGCTTTCGACGGCTTCTTTCAAATGAAACAGTAACAATTGAAGGTAATATATTCTTTATAATTCTTACTATTGAGTTGTATAACAACAAAATTAAACCCATGCTCGTTTATCGGTGTTGGGAAGTGTTTATTAATAGACGTTTTACAGTGAATATGTTAAAAGTTTAAATCTTTGTCTCAAAGAGTAAATATCTAATTTATAATTAGGACAAGACTCAAAAATCATCCAATCTATACGTTTCGCTACTTATATTTTGAATTATTTAGATTCTGTTGAAACCAATGAAGAATCTTCACAAGAAAAAAGCATTGAATTTCACGATATCGTGGGACAATACCTATTCCATGCTCGCCAATTTGCTGTCAAAGCAGTTATTCGGTCGAGTAATGAATTTAAAAACAGTTACAGTTCTCTTATGATCTCTTTCCAAGAATTTATTAATAACTGTCTAACAAACACAAATGAACATGTTTCTTTGCGTATACTACCTGTAGCAAATTCTGTCTTAACTCTATTATGTACTCTGACCGATAAACTTACAATAATTTCTATATTTATTGATGCTGGTTATACTCAAAAAACTATCCAGTGGATTCGTACAGATAAATTTGCGTCTCTTATTAGTGATATTGGCGGTTCAATAGTTAACATTGTTTACAATTTGACGAGAGACAAGACAGCTTTAAAACAGCTTCGTACAGAAAAAGCGTTCGACATTTTGATGGAACTTAAGCAATCAATTCATAATGAAAACGATAGCTGGTTGACACTAACTTATGGTTGGGCATTAATCGCACTAGCTACTAGTGATGAACAATCAGAAGAAAATAAAAAACTTATTCTTGATACCAGCGAAAATTTATACCGATTATGTAATGAAACTGATCAAAAAGATGACTTATCATCTGATGGATATCATTTATCGGAACTGTTGGAATTATTAGATCGTGCTTTCACAAACACATATGTAATCAAACATATTTTGGAGGATAAGATCAATGAAAAATCAACAGCAATACAATACTTTACAGAACTTTTTTTATCCCTTTACGGAGCTCTGCTAGATCCAGAACCAGATGAACTTGAAAAACGTGCTGTCAAATATTTACTTAGAATTCTACTACAGATTTCCAGTTATCCAGAATATCTCAAACAATTAATTGATAATCATCAGTTTTGTATAATCATAGAAAGTCTTGCTAATCGTCGAAAATGCGATGATGCAAAGCGTATTTGGTGTAATATTCAGCAAATAATGTCAACAAACGAACAAAAAAAAGAAAGGTCATCGAAAATCTACATTAGCTATGATCGTACCGACGAAGAGTTTTGTAAAGAATTTGTAAAAGAGTTGCGTAAGAGAATGACGATACCAATTTGGGTTGACTATGAAAATGTTGACCTGTCTGATGATATGTGGGAATATGTATCTCCAAATATTATATCAGCAACAGTGGTTATTACCTTGGTATCAACAGCCTATGGTGAAAGTACTGATAAATTTCAAGAATTATCTTACATCATTTCTACTAATAAATCAAGAGATGAAAAGAAAGGCTTAATCGTAGTCGCAACTGAACCTAATTTCAATTTCAACCGATCTTGGATGAAAGATCTGTTACATGACAAGACTATGGTTTCCTATGAAAATAATATTGATCATATGGTTTGGAACGTATGTGAACAGATTGGTGTGTTGAAGAAACCGCGAATGAAATGCCTAAGTTGGCTATTCAAAAATGGGCGGAGAAAAACAGCTCAATCCAACGATTTTTCAGCCAAAACTTTGAAATTGATTCCAGGAAATGATCAAGTCTATTCTCAAAAAGAATCCTCACAAGTGAACGGCAGTACCGATATTTTACTTGCATCAGAAACACATAGCTCACAGTCCATTGTTACTGGACTAATAACGCAAACTGGATCTGTCAGTGGTTCAACCTGGGTATGAAAACGTAAAATAACACTTCTAGAATTTAGATTAGAGTTGATTTGTATTTTTAAAAAAAATAATAAATATCGTTTGTTATTTTAACTAATTTTTACTAATAAAAGATATATAATCTATGATATTTTAGCTCTATGGATTTTACATACATTTGTGAAAATTATGATCTTGAGGATGTGGATGAGGGTGTGGGTGAGTAAAGAGAATAACGACACTCATACACATACCTACCCCACCCTCAGGATGATCTCTTGAGACTATGAGTGTGAGTGGGTGTCGGTGTGGGTTTGGATGAGATATATATGTAATACTCACACCCACACGTACACCCTCACCCTCAAGATCATTAAAACAAAACTAAATGATACTTTATTTTAATAAATACGAAATCTTCAAAATGAAAAAGAAAAATATTATATACGATAGAATAACAAAAAAAATATATTGTTTGAAAGGTAAGATTTTTTTTTTGCTAAAATAAAATAATTCATTGAGAACCATTTGTTTTTCTCTACAGGATATTTTTAATCAGAGCAGTCATCCTATTCCGCAATGTTGAACATTTCAGGAACCAGTTCCGCTCCGGAATCGATTCCGTTCAATTCCGGGAACTCGATCGACACATAATATCCGATACCCACTCGAAAATTGATCGAGTTCCGTCCAATTCCGGAATTGGTAGGAATTCCGGAATCGGTCGGAATTCCGTGTAATTCCGTAATTAGAAGTAGTTCACGCAATTCCGGAATCGGTGGGAATCGGTAGGAATTCCCAGGAATTCCGTCCAATTCCACTGAATTCCGTCTTGGTGCAATTCCCGGAATTCCGTAACGGAATTAGATCGTATCCAAACGGGATAACTTATCAACACAACACAACAAATGTGGCTGAGGTGGATGGTGTGATTCCGGTGCGGAATTCCGGAATCGGAACCAATTCCCGCAATTCCGGAATCGGTGGGAATCGGTAGGAATTCCGTGCAATTCCGGAATCGGTCGAACTCGATGAATCTCGACTGGGTGTCTTATGTTGTGTGTCGATCGAGTTCCCGGAATTGGACGGAATCGATTCCGGTGCGGAACTGATTCCTCCAATGTTCAACATTGCGGAATAGGATGCATTCTCTTTAATCAGAAAAAAAAATTACTTTTACAATTTATCAATCATAAATATAGATATTTAAATGTCAATTATCTATTAGAAGAAATTTGTAAATTATAGTTGTATTTCAGTTGAAATCTATTTGTTATTATCATCGAAATTTATTTTTATAAAAAAACATAACCAATTTATGACTAATTGGAAAATGCTCATAAATAATAAACTTACTTTTTTTCTGATTCTAACAATTAGTAATATTAGTTGACGTTGTCAAATATTTTCGAATCGAATGTTACATTCAATTTTAAATATAGACAAGCAAATAATAATATAATACAAATTTTATTCACAAAAAAACTTATCATGCATAAGAAATAACAAAAAAATACATGGATGAATATATTCTGATTGCTTATTGAACAATGAAATGAAAAAAATTATTTTAATTGATAAAATAACAAATATAAATAAAATTCATTTAAATGATTGTTCTTGTTCATAATAGATCTGATTATAAGTGTCATTGAAATGTGTATACGAGAGTGAGAGTCAATATTCAAATTATTTGTTAATGTTTTATCGATATGATGTGGACTAGTTTAGAGAAGATACATATCCATCCTACACGCTTTTGTTCCGCCACAAAGTCGATTACTTAAACAACATTTTCCACTATTTGCACAAGAAAAAGGACATGAGAGGTGTGGTAAACACTCGTTTGATTACTTTCAAGTAATATTAACTTTTGTGTGTTGACGTCATTCTTCACAACGTCTAAAATCTATGTCGACGGTAGCTTTCAAACGATAGAAGTGTCCAAAATTCAGAATTTATTTGTTAGTATGAAAGAAAAATAAATAGAATATATAGTTAGAAAATATTATTTTTCTTTGATTATGAGAACAAATGACTTTCACATTCAGACAATAATATGATGATAGGTTTATTTGGCTATCGATTAGTTGTTGCCGGCTTGTTTTTTGAATGGATCATGTATGTATTGTAGTTCATAATTGTCTTTTATAAAATGAGTTATTTTGATATTTTTGTTGTAGGACATCGAATGGAGTAGCTGGTAGGTAAAATCTTTCGAAAAAACTGATAAAAATGTTCTTGTTTAGCCTGTAATGACACTGCTAATTGGATTAATGGTGCTGGGCATCCTTGCAACGACTACCAATTTAATAATTCGTGGTGTATAAATGGTTACTTCCAAGCGAGTAGCTATTGGACAGGAGGTAGTACATTTCGTTATCCTGAGTTCAACTGCTGTGACTGTGGCAAGGGTAACTCACTACTTTTTCAACCAAATCTTCCATGACATTTTTTGGACGTTGTTAGGATGGCCAGTGTGGTTCGTTCCAAATACAGGCTATGAAGCTACCAAAGCTGTTCCTGAGTTAACAGACAATGGCGGAAATTCAAATGTCACCGATTTAAAATGCATCGATCCTATGGGTAATTCTGGTGTGTGTACTATGGCATGCAAGATGTGGACACATCCAGTCATATCGCTCACAACTATTACTAACAACAATTTTGATTTGTACAATTGTACACTGAGTTTACAGACGACAAATGCCTCAATGTCATATACTCTTCAAATTCCTCAGAACAACTATATAGTTTATTTTACTAACTGGACAACAGATGACTACAATTTTTCGTGCTTGGGTACAACACCACCACCGAATTCTTCGATGTTATGTCGACATGATGTTGCCCAGTGTCTGCCACCAGCAACTGCATACCGATGTGTATCGCCAGGTACGTATTTTCAACTTCGTAAAACTACTATCAACGAATCTGCGCTTTATTTAGATTGCATTGGTACATCAAATTGGATCAGCAACAATACTGCAAGTCGTATTACAGTAGCATATACTTGCAATTCATATGAAGTTGACCCACAATGGTGTTCTGGAGGAACTGCTACGCCTGGTAATCAATGGGCACTAGGCTCAATGTACAATTTTCCTGAGTTTAACTGCTGCGGTTGTGGCAAAGGTAATCTAATAACTTGTTCTCTGATATTATGGAATTTCGTCGGTATGTTTAGGATGGCCACTATGGTTTGTTCCATTAGCTGGCTTTGCAGCCACAAAAGCTCTTCCAGAATTAATGAACAATACACAAAATTCGAATGTCACTCATCTTCAATGTATTGATAGCTACGGGAATAGCCGAGCATGTAACATGACGTGTAAATTATGGACAAATCCATTGACATCAATTGAGACAATCACCACCAACAATTTCGATCTATTCAACTGTACACTGATTATACGGACGATAAATGCATCAATGTCGTACGTTATTCAAATTCCGTCAGATAACTATCTAGTATATTTTTCGAATTGGACAACAAGTGACTATGATTTCGCATGTGAAGGCAATCAAGCACTACCAAATGTTTCTATATTATGTCGACATGATTTTATTCAATGTCTATCAACGGAAGTAACAAATCGATACGTACCACCAGGTAACTATATACGGCTTAACTAATAGAATACAAATGTATCTTTCCCTTGACCAGATTGTATTGATACACTAAATTGGACAAATTTGTATACTGGAACTCCTACTCAACAAGGATGGAGCTGTTTCGAATACGAATTTATTCGTGGGTGGTGTGCAGGAGGAACTTTTACTCCAAACAGTCAGTGGACGTTAGGTAAAGGTTATAATTTTCCAGAACTCAATTGTTGTGCGTGTGGGAAAGGTATGTTAATTTTTTTCCTGTTCTTCAATATGACTAATGTTTTTTGATTTTTTTAATAGGCTCACAGACTCCATATACACTGGTAGACATATCTCCAAAAAATAGCTCTACTATCCCGTCTGATTTGGATGTTATTGACCTGTACAATTGCATTGCTTCACCCAAACTCAGCAATTCCAGTTTCAACTTTAAATGTTTGGGACCATCCAAATTCACCAAAATAAATACCACAGCCAGCGCAACTCTTTACAATTGTCCAATAAACTGTTTTTTTGATAGAAATCGGACTACAATCGATATGACACAAACGGTCAACATCACACGCCGGCAAGCAGGCACGAATGCCACATATCATCTGATCTCTAACTTATTTCCAAATTTTCAAGTGATCTGTGATATGGAAAATACTCAATTTACAACTTTACAGCCAACATCGTTGGAGGTCGACGGTCAGTTATTTTCGAGTGTGCAACCGACTGTTTATCAAGACACTAGTGAAGCACCCACAACTTACACATCATTCTCGCCTGTTGTATCAAGTTCATTCAAAGCAACGACCTATGCTGAAGAAACTACAACCACTGCATCGCCTGTCGGATCCAGTTCATTTAAAGCGACGACTTACACTGAAGAAACTACAACCACTGTATCGCCTATTGGATCAAGTTCATTTAAAGCAACGGCTTACGCTGAAGAAACTACAACCATTGCATCGCCTGTCGGATCCAGTTCATTTAAAGCAACAACTTACGCTCAAGAAATTACAACCACTGCACTGATCGCGTTCGTCACTGCAGCAACACTCCCTCCTTCTCCTGTTTGGCAATCTCCAACGTGTGCCAATGGTAACATCGGTCTTAATTGTAATGTCACCGTTGATCTTTGTCAGATAACTAATCCATGTCTTAACAATGGCACATGCGTCAATACTTTATCGTCTTCTTATACATGTACATGCATGCAAGGGTTCACAGGCTCACATTGTGAAACTGATATTCGACCTTGTAAACCGTGGACTTGCCTTAGTTATGGCCTATGTAATGAAACTAGTCCCACAACCTTTCAGTGTGAATGTTATCCTGGCTATGAAGGTCTTAATTGTGAATCACTCACCGATTACTGTCGTGAGATTGTATGTCAAAACAATGGGCAATGTCGTCCGATTTTACTAAATTTCACATGTGAATGTACAACAAAAGATGTTACCGGTCGATACTGTGAAATCAAAAGCAATTCGCTCGTTATCAAAGCCGCCATCAAACAGTCTGTTGGATACATAGCCATAATAGCTATTGTCGGTGTTATTTCTATATTTGTCGGGTTGGATGCACTGACATACATTTTTAAAATTGATACAGTAAAGAGACATCGAAGATATCTTGCTAGACGACGTCGACAACAACGAGAACGACAGTCAAAACCGAAATTAGTGGTACGTTTTGTCTATGTCAATGCTTCGCCAGATGAATCAACAATCGAAGTATGAACAGATTGTAATTGTATTTGCTTTATAAATAATGTTGTTTGTTGTGTGTGAAGTCGTCCGTAATTCATGATATATGCTTGTCATTATTCCAAGAGAGCACATTTTTATGAACGGTGAATTCTCATTGTTCCATTTGATTTCTCTTTATAAAGCAATACTAAGGATGTAGTTGTGTGATAAAAATATACTACCCACACCCTTCAACTGTTACTCATCAGGATAAAATCCTTACTGCAAACTTTCATGTTATTTCATCAGAGAAAATTAGTCATACATAACATGGACTGACGTCACTATTTAAAAGGTGTAGCCTTCATTATTATTTCTACACGTAAGTTAAGTATTGCAAAATTACATGAAAGACGTTCTATGCGATTATTCATCGCCTTTTTTCCATCGTATATTAACATATGATTTCTTGCATAATTTTATATTTCGATTGAAACAACAAAAAATTGTAATGGATCTGAAAAGTGAATTATTACAACAACTTCAACAAGCTTCAGTTGAACAAAACAAAACTGAAACTAAATCAACTTATCATCAGAAGTACGACGACGAGTATTATTCCAAGTTAATATGGAATTCAACAAGTTATGATGATGTTGAAAAGATCCAAGTACAATTGGTAGTTGTACAGAATGATGATCAACATGACCTTTTCGATTATATTCGTCATACTGTATCTTCAATGCCTCAATGTCAAGTTCCTGGTCGAACATTATCAGTATTGATTTATGACAAACAATCCGAGAGTTATCTTGGAATAATTCAACTTACAACGGATTTATTAAAAAGTGAATTTAAAAATGCATTTATAAATTTAGAAGAAAGAAAGAGAGGTCGACTTAAACAACATATTCGTGATCATTCAGCGAATTTATCTATTTGTGTTCCTGTGCAACCATTTGGATTTAACTTTTGTGGTGGAAAGTTATTAGCAATGCTTGCATTTTCTACTGAACTTCATCAATTATACGAAAAACGTTATTCGAAATCTTTAGCTTTAATAACAACAACATCTATACATGGAAAATCAATTCAATATGATCGATTAAAACAATTGAAATTTATTGGTTATACAAAAGGATTTGGAACGAGTCATATTTCAGCATCTTTTATGGACAAAGTCAGAGAATATTTGAAAGTGAACAATCCAGAAGTACTTACTCGAAAACAATCTAAATGGCAATTACTTAAATTTGTAGCACAGAAATTGAATATCGATAGTAGTGAATTATTTTATCATGGTGATCAACGAGGAATTTATTGTGGTTGGACTGGAACGAATGCTAATGAGTTTTTATTAAAAACGAAAACGAATTTTGTACAGGATAAACTTCAATCTGTTGAATCAACTGCTTCATTCTGGAAACAAAGATGGGCAAAACAACGAGCAACACATCTAAACAAAAGTCAAATATAAACATTTAAGATGTTCAAAATGGTGCTTTCAGAATATTTGTCAGTTCATACACTGACATATAATGGATCTTTGTATTTTGTAAATATGTATTTTCTGTATGATAAGCAACTTTTACGATCAAATAAAATGACTATAGTTTTAGCATATCGGATATGCGAATATTCATCACAAGTTTTAATAGACTTTTTCTCAGTCGATCGATGCTTTAAAAGCACAATAACTATTTTAACATAACAATCAAAATCGAACTCACCTTCAAGATTTATAAACAGCAGAGAAAAGAAAAAACCGAGAGCACTCGTAAGAAAAATGCTTGCTAAGTAAGAAAACAAAAGAGGTTGCTATACTGAACAACACATATATAGTAGATAATATAATATGCAGGTTGTTCGAAAGTGGGAAAAAAAAGTACTCATTCATTTAACGATAAATACAGAGTAAAACCGGTTATGGACACACAATTAATACACTCTAAGAACTTTTATCATGTATGTATATTTTATTTGCAATATTATGAGATTAATGACAAAATAAAAAACTCAATGTTAAGAATAGTTATAAAGAATGAAAACGAGGTATTTTAATTAATATTGATAGAATATTAATGTTAAAAAATTGGATAAATAATCAGATTATAATCGATCGAAAACCTAGAAATAGTTCCGATTCAATTAGCTCTTATACATAAAATAATCTTATTATAATGTATATCAAACTTTATACAATGACTTATCAACAATTTACAACAATTGAAATTGGATAGACTCGTGATCAAGTGATAAATTTAGTTGGTAGTACAGGATGTAATGTTTCAGAAGCTAGTTCAAGTGATACAGCTGCTATTATAGTTCAATATACAGCAGCTAGAACTATCTTTGTTAATGCTGCTCTTAGTTTTATTAATGGAAAATTAATAACAAAAACTGAAATTGGTTACTTTTTAACTATCAGCAACAAAATTACTTTACAATAATATAGTACAATACAAATTGGATAGACTCGTGATCAAGTAACACAATTCATTGGTAATGCAGGAAGTACTGCTTCAGAAGCTAGTTGTTAATGTTCAATATAAAGTAGTTGGAACTGTCTTTGGTACTGTTAATTTTATATTTATTATTGGAAAACTTAATACCAAAACTGGAATTGGTTTTAAATAAATAAACTTTTTTTATTTTTAGTTAGGTCATTTTATATAATCCGGAATTTTTTTTTCATTATTTTACTCAAGAAAACTTAACTAAATATATATTTCATTAATAAAAAAAACTTTCCAAATATCAATTCATACTATCGCGCACTTCTCTTATTAGAATTGAAGAAGGGTGATGTAAGTAAGAGTGCGAATGACTATGAGTCTCAGGTATGTTGCCAACCAATGAAATAAACGATTTATTGAAATATCTAGTTATTAGTTGGCTCAGATCTGGTTGGGTCCAAAACAAATGTGAAACCGTAGCTCTCTATTCAAACTACACAGGAGAAATTGCATTATCAGAGGATATGGATGGTTAAGTATGGAAGAAACATTTGATCGATTCCAACACTATATGCCAAATGAATATGCATTGTTCAGGGTGTGAGCAGGATTACCAGATCATACGAATTTTTCGACAATTTCCACATTTTGAAGCTTTTTGACGATGTGGGTATTCGTTTCATTTCACACTTGCCCACACCTACTCCACACCCACATCAACTCACACCCTATGAGCAGAAATAACTGACTGTATAAAAATTATTGATAAATTTATTCAGTTCAGTTTTTTTTACTTGAAAAAAAAAGTGTCATTTTGGCATAGTTCTCACTTAACGAAAAGAACAGTAAAACTACTGTTATTAACTAGGAATACATAAAAATGCAGTTGCCTATATCAGTATTCGTCATCGTCTCTGCGTAGTCGGATGAAGAGAAAAATATGTCTACTATGCATTATAAAACCATCGACCATCAATTAAATTATGAAGACAATTATTTCGTATGAAAATCGGTTTCATATACGATATTCCATATTCTTTATATGCAATTTTATGTGATTGTCTTGGTATTTTAACATTTCTGCCTAACCATTTAACAGATTTTAATGGATAAATATCTGAAATTAATCTTGATTGATATTTAAGACTAGAATCAAATAATTGTAAAACTGGTTTTATTTCATGTTCACCGTAACGTTTCCATAACCAGATATCAACATGTGGTTGTCGTGCAGATTTTTCATTTACAGATGATAATGAAAATAATTTTCTATCTGGATAATATTCAACATTAAAATCATTGTTTTGAAATGTTTCAATGAAAAGTTGAATATTATTTAATTTCGAATGGTTATGATTAGATTTAAATGGCCATTCAATTGATAAATCAACATCTTGATCCCATATGTTATATGTTTCATTTCTTAAAACATTTAATAATGATTGACAATCAGGCCAATAAATAATTGATAAATCATCTAACATATCCATTATTCGATGAGTTAATTTCATATTTGTCTTTGAATATTTTGCAGTTACAGCACATTGACCATATTGATAATAAACTTCTAATATGACAAGAATTGATACGATTAAAACTAATATAAATAATAAAATAAAACAAAGGAATCCATTTCGTTTATTGGATATAAAAGGAGTATTTCTTTTTTCTTTTATTGTTTTAGAAAATTGTCTAAATAAAAAAAAGAATAGATATCTTATTAAAATTTCTATATAATAATAAGAATTACAATATGAAATCGATTATTTTTATAGAGAATTTACCTAAATATCGATCGTATGAAGAAAGCCATTCAAATGATAGTGTATATAGTTAATAATCAATCTACATAAAAAAAATATTTTATTCAACACATGGTTGGTAATAAATTTTTTACGAGTGAGTAGGTAAACAACAAATTTACATTATTTAATATGATTTTTCTGTGCCGGTAGAACAAAAAATTGTTCTTTCTCGCAGACATATGTAGGAATCTAATTAATCTTTAAAGTATAGTCAGGTTTTATTTCGAATATTTTTCAAGATAAAAATCATATGTTAATGAGTTTTTGATATACGTGAGAGTAGGTGTGAGACCGTGAATGATGAATGCAAGAAATATCGACATGCACACACACAAACCGGCAAAATTTCATTATATGTTTATAGAGGAAACCCTTCTCTTCCCTCAAACATATAGTCACATGAAATATGCTTACCTTCTCTTGTCGAATCTTCCGTCAACTATATACACTTGATTACGTAGTTTATGTTTCTTTTCATACTTTTTCGACTGCCAGTCATAATTTCCAACATTGTCAGATTGTTTACATTTATTACCTGTTCGTTATTGCTACTCAACTGCTTTTCTTGGAAGGAATGAGAAAGTATGGAGAGCTTCACATGAAGATTGAAAGCAGTGCATTGGTTGTGTGGATGTGAGTGGAATAGACTACTCGCAACAACACCTACATCTAATGGAATCAATCTTTCAACGAACATTCTTTATTTATTTTTCTATTCTTCTCAGAAAGATGTCAACGAATAATTAATTTTGAAAGGTTGGAATTATTTCGGATACCAACCATAATTTTTATTGTTTTCAATTGTGGATTTTGAATTGTTCGTGCATAATGTGTGAAATGTTGTCTATGTATATAATGAAGAATAAGGGTGTGAGTGTGGGTATAAATTCATCTTTTATTTACCAACATCCACACCCACACCCATACTCTATTTAGATATCTATATTCATGTATCCTACGAGTTACTTTTTTGCCATTTTTTATTTATTCATCATCGATAGATATATAAGCCAGCTCTCATTAAATTAGCTATTGCGAGATGAATCCAAGGACATACTCATCGCAGTTGATATCACAATACAAAACATTAGCTAAACCACGACCGCGCGTATTTTCATAAACATCCGTAAACGATTTTATTTTTATACTTAGATGTGCATGAGCTGAGAAAGTAAAAAGAACTACACTAATACTAATCTCAAAGATATCAATATGCTTAAAAGTATAGAGTTAAATTTATTCAGCAGACATTCATCATCAAGATGGTTCTCTAAGTTTATTTTAATTGAATAAGAAAAGAATATAAGATACAAATGAAACGATATAATGAAATAGTCAAAAACGAATAGATAATCATCTACATGAACGACTAGTATATCGATACATGTAAACAGAATGCGGAATGAAACCATGTGAACTAATAGCTAGACGTGGGTCCCATTTTTCAACATAATTGAAAAGAGAATGCATTTCTGTAATTTGTTTAAAACTACCGATAGAAGAATCACGAAGCATATGTCCTCGCATATCAATACGTAAAGCTAATATTTTCAGTAATGGACACCGACGATGTAAATAATTCGCAATTTTATGAATATTGATTGTTTCAACATTATGACGACACTGATTAACAATTAAATGAAATTATAAAAGATTTGGAAAGAGTGAGAGAAGAAAAATGAATTGTCCATTGTGAAAGAAAAAGTTTTTAAGTCGACCAAGTCGAAGATGGGTGTGGGTGTGGGTGTGGGTATGAATATTATATCTATAATACACCCACACCCACATCCTCAAGGTGTTTATGAAATTTTCTGACTACTTAAAGAACACTCATTCAATTGAACATATAAAGAGCAATTGATAATATTTTACACTCTTCCAGCAAGGAAGAAGAGAAACTGATATATATTCTTGAATCAAGTTAAAAATATAACCATAGTATTAATTCAAACTAATTTTTCAATTGTGGAGAAGCATTTTCTGCTTTCTATATATAGAATCGTTATTAATATTACGTCATCTGACCAATATGATTATATACCTTTTTAGTTGGAAAAAACCAACTATTAATCGTAAATAAACTGCGCCATTTGTCAAAATGAAAAAGTGATTTTTCTTTGCAAATGAAAGCAATTATTGAATTCCACCTTATACAAATATATGATGTTTTGTTAAGAACGAATGCAAAAACTCTCTATGCAAAATGTGTTTTCATTTTGTAAAAAATTCAGACAGATGTGGTAGCGACTGTTTTTTAGTTTTATCAAATTTTTGTAAGAGAATACTTTTTATTTCGCAATGTTACACATTTCGGAATCAATTCCTTCGATTTCGGAATTCTATCTTATGATCCTTTCATCTAATTACACCCTTTCATCACACCCTCACATTTTGCCTTGTTTTGTGAAGCTATTCTTTTCTAAACACGATTGAATTCAGGCATTGATGGAACCAAGTCTGCGGACGAAATTGATTCCGAAATGTGTTACATCATGGAATAGGATTATTGCATTTAGATCAATGGAGTCTACAAGGGATCCAAGACTTCTTCCAAGTATGAAAAAACATAGACCTTGTGGCCCATGCTCGGATGATATTGGTAACTTGCTGAAAATTGAATGTTTACAAGATGTTAATGTAGAATCTAACGATACAATTGATGCTGCTACTATTATTAGATTGAATGAATACATTCATTACAACTGCAACAATTAAACAAACCATGGCTCACAAAAACTAATTCTGTTATCACTTTGACTCGAATACGTCCAGCTATAGAATGTTTGTTTGTTAAAATTCAGTTAGTTGCTTGGTACCTTTGGAATCGTTGCCAACATATTGGTGGACGATATGAGTCATACGAATTGGAGTATTTGAGAAACGTTGGCTTATGGCAAATGAAATTGATATATTTCGAACCAATGGATTCAAAATATGACCGGACAGTATCAGAAAAGCTCATGAATAGATTTAAGAACAATCAATTATTTGCGAAGGTGTTTGGAAACGTTCTCAGTATAATGAATGAAAAATCATCGTTTAATACGAATATCGTGAATATTGTTTGTTTGTGGATGGACGCATTAACACACCTACATCGTCACTCAGGATCCATGTCAGCAATAGTTCTGGAACGTTCATCTAACGACAATATAATGACAACCATTATTACTAAGTTTATTATGAATTGTAAATATAAAAACTATCTAATTCATATGAAAAATATTCATTTGCAACCGATCGAAAAGTTTTATATTGGTACGTGCTCATTTCATTGTGCATTCATACCGAAGCTAAAAAATTACCTAGAGATTATGGCACCATTAATTTTTTATTCTCGACGATTTATTATTTATCATTCTGAATCCGTTGAGCAGTGGTCAACAGATATTCTGGAATGTGTTCGAGGCGTTGTTACATTAATAATGAATTATTACAAAAACAATTATGATCGTCAGAGTTCTCAAGAAAAAATCATGTTTCTGGATGACAAAGAGTATATACAATGTTTACTGAGAATTTTAAATTGTAAATGGATTCAAAAAAATATTCTACTCACTTGGTCAAATGATGAAACAATTTTAGTCGACTCAATAATAAGATTTTTAACATTGATAGTCAACCATAATGTTAAGGAAAATACAAACTATTTTCTATATTATTCAAATTCTACCCATCATTACACTGTGAATGAACTTGAAATGCGTTTTTTGCTACGTGAAATGGATGGTGTTCATATTCTCTTTAATTTATTGTCGAATCCTTTAGAACATAAACCATTGCATTTTAATTTATATATGCTTCTTATTCGAATAATCGATGACAATGATATAAGACAATTAAATATTAGTGAACAACTAATGTTAAGTTCCTGTCATTTATTTTCAAAGCTGTCGTCTGATGATCTTCGAAAGTATCTAATGGGATTTACAGATTTGTGCAAGAATGAATCTATTCAGGATGAAATAATAAAAAACAATCAAATAGATTTAGTGATGAATTTTGATAAATCATTATCTGCTCGATATGAAATATTATGGACATTGAGTTTTAATTTGAATATCGCAAAACAAATGAAACAAAATTTTAATTTTATACAATCAATTCGACTTTCCACAAGAACTGATGATGATTTCTGTTCAAACAATGCAATACGAGGTATTCTTTGGAATATAGGTGATCATGAAGGATTGGCAAAATTTGGATCTAAGAGAAACAAAGATAATTGTTTATTTGACAAAAACACCATAGAAATAGATGGTTTTGATGCTATTTTCTGTTATGATCCAGCAGATTTTTCTGAGTGTGTAATATTGCAATCATATTTGATAGGTAATGGTTATCGAGTATGGATAAAAAAAACCTACATGTTCAAGCAACAGTTTAGAGCGTTTGTTACTAGAAAAAGAAACCAAAGCAAATTGCGTTATTCTTTGTTTATCGGAAAATTTTATTCGTAGTAATTCATGTCGAATAGAATTACAACTTGCATTCAAAAAACAATTGAATATTATACCAGTTATTATTCATGAGCATTATAAAATTACTTGTAAATGGTTAGATGACATTGTGACAACTATGCTGGATATAATCGATCTAACTAAGACTTCTTATAAAGAAGCGATCAGATTATTGATTAGTACAATACAGAAGTCATCAAATACTTGTCAAGAAAAGCGTTTGCATAATTCACTAACGTCTATAGTTTATTTTCCATGCGATTTGTACGCAGATTGTAAAGATAATAATGTTGAAAAAATTAAAGAGTACATACAACACGTACCGATTAGTCAAATCAATCATGTAGAATCAAATGGGAGTACATCGTTGCATGTAGCTGCTTACTATGGATTTAACGAGTTAGTTAAACTATTGCTAAAAAATGGTGCATCACGTTCAATCAGAAACAAACATAATTTAACTGCTTACGAAGAAGCACGAACGTCGACAATTAGAGAGATTTTCAAACGATTTAACGATGAAGATCGATTTCTTAGCAATATAGATATCAATTATGAATGGATACTCGTCTGCGAAGAAACATTTCTACAGCGAGAACATTTTCGTCAACAATTATTAAAAACATTTGCTAGGGATAGTACAGAGGATCTATCTACTAAATTCGATACTGTATATGATAGAATAAAAGAACATTATATAATTCTATTTGAGCAAGAGAATTTACCACAAAGACAACAGTTATTGATTGATTGGTTTTTCATGAACGCTAGTATTGAAAAAAATCCAATTTGGATCGTAAAAGCATATACATCAACAACAGATTTTTATAAAATTCTCAATCGTCATTTGGCCATGTACGTTTTAGAATATTTTCATCCAACCCTAAACAAATCAATTGATTACAAACTTGTCAATTGTCTCATTGATTTTGTAGGAATCTTTATTCATAGCGATGGTCTGGATAAGCTTAACTATGTAGGCCAATGTTATCGTGGAATGTTGATGACAAAAGATGATATTTCTCAATATACCATCGGTTCACAAGTCATGAATATGACTCTTTTATCAACTTCAAAGCAGAAGACGATAGCAGAAATTTATGCAGGCGATGGTCAGTCTAAACTAATGAGACAAACACCTGATTTTAAACTAATCCATTTTTCTACCGTATGTACTTATACAGTTAGAAATAAGCATACAGCACTCGACATTCATCAAATATCGGAAGTAACGGATGAAGAAGAGATATTGATACTACCATTCTCAACATTTCGTGTAACAAGTATGAAACAAAACGATCCGAAAAAGAATGGTATCTTGATTGAACTTGAACTAGAAGAATGTTGTGAATCATGACAAGTCTATTATTATAAATACAGATAATGAAGTTTATATATCTTGAGGGGTAGGTGTGAGTGTTGGTGGGTGTGGGTGTGAATACTGTATTCATTTAGCATCCACCCTAATATTTCCAAGTGCCAGTAGTATTTCAATTTATGTGAAAAATCTGTCGGACTAAAACTCCAAATGATGTGTTTAAATATAATTCCCTCTATTCAAAGGAGGATTATGTTTGAAATTATTACACTACTATATGCTTGTTTGTTCGTTAGGAGAATTAATTAAGGAAAGTATGCAGTCCGATTCTGACTTATGAGATCGAGAGAAGTCGAATATGAACATTTGATAAATTCTCTTGGTGCAATCGTCGATCTGCCCTTGAGATATAGCTGGAGTAATTTGAAGGTGTCGATAAGTTTAAGGTGGGTGTGGGTGCAGGTGTGGGTGTGAATATCCGTCGTCGTCTAACTCACCTGCCTTGCCT